TAAAATTAATTCCAGTAACTTCTGTAGATCATTTAATAATTCTTTATAGATCATCTTTTCAATAGTGAATTTTTAGCCAGTAACAATATATGTTACTGCTTCTTCATTTTTTCTTGTTGAGTTTGTATTGCATTATATATGTCTTTATCAGTTAAAGAAGGCAAAATTCTGGTTTTTTCTAACAATTCAATATTGTTTTCTCAGTTACACAACTCTATGCTTCTGCAAAATAATTTATCACTTCTTTAATATTCATTTTCTTTTCGTTAATATTTTTTTTATCTTCAAAAGATCTAACTTATAATGACAATATTTTCTCTTAAAATGGCTTTTAAAACTTGTAATGATTCCAGCGTCAAGTGGCTGGAGATGACTGTTAGTATTGGAAAGTAAGTAGGCTATTTTAATATAGATTAGTTGAAATTGATATTCATCATAACTTGATCTACCACTATGACCTCTACCATGATCTTTTGATCTACTACTACGATCTCTTGATCTACCACCTGACCTCTTGATTTACCACCATAACCTCTTAGTTTATTAATATGACCTCTTGATCTACCACTACAACCTCTTAATTCACCATCATCATGATCACTTAATTCATTCTCATAATCACCTTTTTCATCAGTATTATGCTTATGTTGATTATCTTGCTCAATTTCTAAAGTTGATGAATAATATAAATTAGAATATGATGGAATATTATCAATCAAAAGCAAAATTTTTTATTTTGCATTTTAAAATAACTATCCAATTATGAAATACTTCTTTAAAAACTAAAGAGTTCATCCATGTTTTTGGATTTTCATGATAATTGACTGGAAGGCATTCTAAGTTAATTTTTGAAAGAGGTCTTAGACGTTTTGTGTTACTAATTACCCATGATTTAAGCTTATCTATCCCTGTTGCATTAGCATCAAGAAGGACTGTAATTCTTAATTTGTCTTTTTTTCTACCAGAAACAGGTTTAATAGAAAATATTTGGTTAGTAGACATTCAATAAAAAATACCCTTTAATATTATTTGATAATAGTAAATTAGATATTATATTAGCGCATATATAGTAATATAAAAATATATTAAAAACTTACTATTTTATCAATATTGTAAATTCAATTAAGAGTATATCTACTTAGAAGTAATTGTAATTTTTTCATTCTTCTAAAAGAGATTTTAATAGTATACTTCCTGATTCCTCATGCATATAATACTTACAAATGTTATTACGCTTCTTGAATTGATGTAGTCAACCATTAGAAAAAATCAATTCATTTTTTTGTATATTAAATGCATTAGCAAAAAATTTTGCTTTTTCTCTTACTAATAAATCCATTAAGATAACATCATTTGTTATTACATTTTCTACTCATAAATTCATAGCATGATCAAGTTCTGGAAATTTGACTCCTCTATTTCTGAAAGTTTCTTCAGAATCTCCAATTTCAAATGCAGAATTCCATTTCTTACTTTGTTTTAGTATTTTTGTTATAGTATTACGGTCAATATGCAAAGTAAAGTTTTTTTCATTAAAATAAGCTGCAATCTTTATAAATTTCATGTTTAAGTTTAATATTTATAGCTGAGCGATGTTTTTTGAATTAGTCTGAAGGTATTATAAAAAATTAACCAAACAAAAAAGTCATTCAAAATCTTTTTGAAAAGAAGCTTTTTTACAAAGCCACAATTAATATTTTAGTAACATTTGATTTAGACTATGAAATTTTCTGAATGGATATGAGAAAATATAATAAAAACATTACAAGAAAATACAATTGTATTACAGTTTATAATATTGTTCTATATTTTATCATATTACATATTAATTGTTACATTTTTAAGTGTTATAATTACATATCTTTTGTGAGTATTTAATAATTTATGATATGTAAAAAGGTTTATCTATTAAACATTCTAACTTTATTTTATTCGATATAAGCTAATCAGAAATTTGTGATTATAAAGAGGTCTAATTACTAATAAAATGATACAGTGAACTCTTGGTATAACGAATTTTAAGATCTGAATATCAACTTCATTATAAGCTTATAATAATTTTTTTTAAAGAATTTAATTGGTTAGTTTACTATAGTAAGGTAATTTAATATATTTGATTTAAAAATTCACTATATCAAGGATTTGCTATATTAAGGTTTGACTGTATGTACATTAAGAGTCATGAGATGATAGTGACTATAGCTGATTTGTGATTATTAAGAGGTAATTTAATAATACTAAAATATGTTTACAAAATAAGATGCTTATAAAGAGATGTCATTATATAGGATATGATTGTATAGATGTCTGACTGTAGTTGCATCTTCTTATAAAGTTTATTTTAATATAAAAATTCATAAATAGTTGCAACTAGTTAAAAATTTTAAAATTAATTATAATTCTATCCTTAATTATTACACTATTAATATATATCAATTAATTGTTAATCATCTTTAAAATATATATTAATCATTTCTATAAAATCCAATTTTAAATTTTTGATTGACATTACACAGAAATTTAAGCATTTTTACCAGCCTAATTGCTTATTTTATTATTAGGGTAAATTTAACCTAAACTTTAAGGTTCAGACTATTTAAAATAAACCTACACAATTCAAGTAATTTAATTTAGTCTCCTTCTTTTTTTAGTAAATTGGATTATTTTTGTAATTATAATATATTTTATATAATAGTTTAATGTGAAAATAATAAAATATAAATGCTTTATCCTTCTTTTTTTTTCAATTAATTTCCTTCTTTTTAACCTTAGTAATTGATAAGTTTTAGTTTTTTTTCTTTATTTTTGATATTATTTAACATGTTTGTTTTTAGTTTAATATATTAATTAATATTATTTTTTACTTTATTTTCTTTTTTAGTTAATTTTTACTTTGACTTTATCTTTTAGCTAATATTTTCATTGTTAGGTTTCTTTTTATATTTTAGTTTAATTATATTATTATTCAGTTATATGATTTTTATCAAATATGTTTTTTTGATATCTTCTTTGGTTAATTTATCATTTCATTTTATAAGATTAATTTTATATTCTTTTTATTTATAATTATAGATATATATATACACATATATATATTTTTGTTTCTTTATTTATTTATTTTTAATTAACATTTATTTATCTACATTTTATCTCCATTCCATTAATATCATTATTTTGTCTCTATTCCATTAATAACTTTACCTTTATTTCATTATTTACTAAATGTACCATTAACTAATTAAATCAAAACTTATGTAAAGTATCATAAAAGATTATTAGTAAAGATTTTTTTTATAAAATCTGATGAAATTCATCTCATGAGTATTAAAATGATTCAAAAAAAAATTATAAAAGTGCATAAAATTTAATGATTCTTTTTTCTCTAGTCGAATGTTACACAAATTGATCATCTTAAAGATACTAATTTTGGTAACTAATTTTTTTAGAAAGGAGGTTTAGGTTAATCTGCCTGAAACCTAAGGGTCTATTTAAAATAGGGGTCTAGGATAAGAACGCTCTTATTATTAAGCCTGTAATAGCACAGCTCCCATATATTACAAAATTACAATGTGTATTTAAAGCATTGAAAGGGTATTTTACCTAGAATGATGGATTGTTTATATTTTTAAAAAATTTTTTTGTTTGTAAATTTTTAGTACTATGTGTAAAAAGGCGTATTTGATAAAAAAAAATCCCCCACATTATAAACAGGGGTAAACTGTTAAAGACAAAACCATGACCATAGTTGATCAACAAATATCAGCTAATTTCAAAATATGATAAAATTGGCAATCACGTAAACACAGCAGATCGGTCTAAAATTAGAATAAATAGCTCATAATGCTAGAAATTACGAGAAAATGAAGGAAAAAGGAAAAGTATAGATGCAACTGGAATGCAATTTTTTAACCTTATAAATAAAGCCATCGAACAAGTTGGGGAGAAACAAGCAAAATACAAAAAAAAATAAAAAACTTTTCTTCAAAAAAAAAGCGCGAAAATGGCTCTCTATTATTGGGATAACGATTTAGAACGATCAGTTAATAGTATTTTTGATAATTTCATTCAAGATTTAAATGTTGCAAGAAGAAGAACAACAACTCCTCGTGGTGATGTGACAAAAAGAACTTGGTCTCCTTTGATCGACGTTCACGAAAGTGATAAAGAATTGACCGTACATGCAGAATTACCAGTAAGTCTTATTTTACTTAATTTTTTAATACTTTTATTTTTTAACATTTTTTTTATTTAGGGACTTGATAAAGATCAAGTTAATGTCGACATTCGTAACAATGCTCTTGTAATTTCTGGAGAAGTTAAACAGGATGAAAAATACAACGAGGGAAATACTCACGTTCAAGAACGTCGATTTGGTTCTTTTACTCGTTCAATTTCTTTACCACGAAATTCTAAGGTTGAGGAAACTTCTGCCAAATTTAATCACGGTATTCTTGAAGTTATCATTCCAAAAGGAGAGATTCCATCTGGAAAAAGAATTACTATTCAATAATTTCAAATAATTACAAAAAGCTATGATGTAATTAATGCATAAAGTATATATAAATATATATATATTTTTTTTTAGTAATAGCATTTCTATAAAGATTAAGGGTTGTATTGTTATTTTATACCTTACGAATATTATATGAATTTCAAATAACTGAATAAATATATAAAAAAAAAGCTCTTTTATTGAAAGCTCTCGACGAGTGCATTCACATTCTGTAGTTCTAATTTTCTTAAAAGTTCAACTATTTTCATTCATGACCAGCTTTCCAAAAGAAAACATGCGTTATGCAGAACGCAAACCAGATTCGGCTACTTCATTGTAACAGAAATATAAATGGATATTAAATTTAATTAAATGACCCTAACTTTCTTCGGAAATACCCTTCCTTTGCGATTTACTGCGCCATAAATATTTAATCAAACAATTGTTTAATTATAATAGGAGGTTGATAAACATGAGGAAAATTTTTGATGAGTAGAATTAAAGAATCGACTTACCAAATTGATATTTACGAGAAATGATATAGGTGCCAATAGAAAACATGTAAATATGTGGGAAAGTTGTGTAACTGAGTTATATCCTGAAGTCTCGCTGTACGTCATTAAAGCGTCATAGCCTTTTCGGGTTATAGAATTACCATATGTGTGACAAAAAAAGCTGTCATGATACCACCTGACTATTATAAATAAACCTTTACTGTATAATGTTTTAAAATATATGAAAATTGCTCAACTTGAAATTTGCAGAATTCAATCAAAAGAATAAATTTTATTGGCTTTTTAAGCTTTTGAGGGTAAAAAGAAGTATAGAACTTTGTTTCAAATCATTATATATTTTTTATTATTCGCCGCATACTGTTAAAATGACAAAGAAACGGAAAGGAGGAAAGCATGAAAATGAGCAACTTGAAGAACTTCCTACAAAATTTAATGGGCTTGAGAAGCCACAGGTTAAGTGAAACTTTTGAATTTTTTTTTCGTTACCAGAGCTAACTATTATAGCATAGATACAGGGTATTGTCGAAAAAATTGGGACTTTAATATTATACAAATCGACGATTTATCAAATAAATCACACACGACATCTTAATAAATCACTGATAAATCATTATAATGCCTAATAATGGTTTTTCCTTAAAATTTATAGGAAGTCTCAAAAGATGGTTTACTTGCTTCACAGCCATTAACAAAAAAATGGAAGAATATGACAGTTCGATCATTCTGGACATTTGTCATGATATTTGGTTTTTTTGCCATTTTGGCTTTAGGAACTATATGGGTCATTCTTCTTGTAGTCGTGATTCAAACGCTGGTATATAAAGAAGTTATCGCAATTGCACATGTACCAAGCAAAGAGAAGAAATTGCCGTGGTTTAAAACACTTAATTGGTTGGTTTAAATTAATTTTTTTTTAAAAAATCAAAACGATCTCGAAACACTTAAGAATCCTGACTTTAAATTATATGCGGTAGATTAATGTATAATTAATACTTATGGTTACATTTCGTCAATGTCTTTTAAAATGTTTTTAGGTATTTTTTAGTCAGCACAAATTACTTTCTTTATGGAGAATCGATAATTTACTATTTCAAAGAAATAGTTTTGGTTGATGCTTTTCTACTTCCTTTGGCAACGCATCACCGATTTATTTCATTCATCTTATATTGTATAGGTAAGTTTATAAGAAATTAATCAATCAAGGTGGTGAATTTCGTGTCATTTGATTCAAAATTCTTCGCATTATTTTTATAGGGTTCGTGTTCTTTGTTGCAAACCTAAAGGGGGGACATTATAAATTTCAATTCACGCAGTTCGCGTGGACACATATGACACTATTGATTGTTGTATGTCAAAGTCACTTTATCATCAATAATATTTTCGAAGGATTAATTTGGTATAATATTATTTTATTAATTCAAACAAGAGAAATTGATTTCATTCTCACGAGTTATCCTAATTTTATTAGGTTCGTGCTGCCCGTGTCTTTGGTAATATGTAATGATATCTTTGCGTATATGTGTGGATTTTTCTGGGGTAAAACACCTTTGATTAAATTGAGTCCTAAGAAGACGTGGGAAGGATTCGTGGGTGCCTGGATTTGTACGATAATTTTCGGATTTTTTGTAAGTATTTTTAGTGTGTATATAATTCATTTTATAAGTTCATTTGCTCATAAATTTGCTTATTTTATTTATTAGTGGTCTTCCTTATTAAGACGTTGGGATTACATGATCTGTCCTGCTCAGGTAACCTTTCTGACAACTTTTAGATTAGAATTTCTTTTAGTCGTTATATTAATTCACTTATTACATATATAATTTAGGATTTAACAACCACGGCATTTTCGGGAGAATTAAGGTGTGCCCCCAATCCAGTGTTTATTCCTCAAAACTACGATCTAAATCCTTGGTTAACTAGTTTATTCAGGCGAATAGTAAGTAAACTTTTTTAAGAAATGATATCAAGTTATAATTTTAATAATGATTTATTTTCAGACATTTACAGATATCCGATCAGTTGGGATCGCGCCACTCCAGTGGCACGTCTTGGTCATGGCATGTTTCGCTTCCCTGATCGCACCATTTGGTGGTTTCTTTGCGAGCGGAGTTAAGAGAGCATTCAAAATTAAAGTAAGCCCATTAATCATTTGTTTATATTTTGTGTTATCTACTGATTTTCTTGACAATCCCTTTTTATTTTTTTTATAGGATTTTGGAGATTCTATTCCTGGACATGGAGGTATCACAGATCGTATGGATTGTCAATTCCTTATGGGGTTGTTTTCACACATGTATTATCAAAGTTTTATCAAGGTTTGTTTTAAAATTTAATAGAATTTGGTTCTTTAGTTTTAAATCATTTTATTAATTAAATTACTTTTTAATAGACATCATCTTTGACAGTTGGAACAGTTCTTGAAGCAATCATTTCACTTGATGAACAAGATCAAAAGTATCTTTATGGCAAATTAAAACAATACTTAATAAGTCAAGATCTATTGAAAGAGGATTAAGATTACTTAATAACCCACTTTAATAAATAATGTATAAGGCGGGTCCTTCAGGTTAAATATACATAATTTCTTAATGTTCTATTTTTTTAAAAAAAAAAAATTATTTGGAAAATCTATCATAAAAAAGCTTTGCTCAGTAATAACATAGTAGTATATATATATCTTTCTATTATTATGCTTTATTGAAAAAAAAAATACAAATAAATCCAACTTTTGCGAGAACAAAAACAAATCATCTCGCTAATAAATTGTAAAGTTTTTTTTTTTTCCTTTAATTAAGCCATTAATTTTTTGGACCATTCACGACTATCATTAATTAATCCCATCAAATAAGGAGAATTGCCAAGGACTTGGAAACTAATTCCTTTTAGATTAATGTTATTTTCTTCAAGATTTGCGTCGACTGTAGAAATGGAAATACCAGTTGAAATATCTAACGTTGCACTGAACAAAGTAAGCGCACTCCATAATGTTGTCATGTTCCTACATAATGTTCCCAATTGGACAAGTTATTTTTGAAGAAATTTCGAGTTGTAATAAAAAGGTGACTATTTACTCTTTCGGTACCCTAATTATACCAACATAATTAGAATTATCTATTTCACCATTCCAATCTAAAATATCTATATGAATCCCCGAACCAATAATTCCGAATGAATCCGTTAATGCATGATTGAATAAAGTCCTTAAAGAAAGCGGAGAAATTGGGGGAAGTGGTATAGTTTGTGGATCGAAATTTCTAGATATTTAAAAGATAATTTATTAAAAGTATTTTAAAAAATAAATAAATAATGATTACATTTTTATTTTGAGATAATGCCAAATTGGTGTTGTTATAGTATATTTCGTCAATTTTTTTGATGATTTTTCTCGTTCGTGTTCCATTGATTTGATAAAAGCAAAATTTAAATCAAGAATTAATTTGATAAGATTTTGATTATAAAAATTGGTAATGATCACTTTTATAATCAGATTAGATTAGTAAAGTTAGGATGACTTTTTGTGACAATTAATTTTGAATAAAATCAATATCGAAAACTAAGAATAAATTTTACACATTCTTTTTCTACTTTTTCTACTCTATAAATATTCAAAAACGTTATTATTTTATTTTTTAAAAAAAATGAACGCTGGAGGTTCTGACCTGTTCGAGTCTTATGAACAAGACTTTAGTCAAGTTGCTAGGTCTATTGAAGTTATAATAAATTCCACCATTCCTTCACAATCTGGAGGTAAATCCTAAAACAAACTTTCGACAGTCTATACATCCCTTGAAATGCAATTGACTTAAAAATTGTCTTATTATAGAAAAACGTAAGACAACTATTCGAACTGCAGAGCGTGAAATTGAAGAGGCCGATGAAATTGTACGTTAAATGTATTTTTGTTTATTTGGTTTCACTTTCTAAATTGTGTTTTTTTACTTTTATAGATAGCTCAAATGGAAATGGAGCTGTTAAATTTACCACAATCATCACGCTCACGTTGTCAAGCTAAAATGAGGAGTTACAAGGGCAATCTGGATAAATTGAAACGTGATTTGGTAAATTCTTAATTTTTAAATGAAAATAAAATAAAATATAATTGATTATATTTTTTTTTATTTAGAAAAGAGCAGGTTCACGTGCTTCTGGACCAACAGATCGTGAAGAATTGCTCGCTGGTGCAAATGGGACTGATCTTGATAGTGCTTCGTTAGATCAACGTGCTCGGCTTTTATCTGGAACCGAGCTTTTGGCTGATAGTAGTCGTAGATTACAGGACAGTCATAAAATTGCTTTGGAAACCGGTAAGACCATATCAATTAATTATTTTTGAAAAAAATTTTTTTTTAATTGAATTTTATTTTTGAATTTCAGAAACAATTGGTGCCAATGTTTTGGAGGATATTCGTAGACAAAGAGATCAAATCTTACACACTAGGAATACTGTACGTTTCATTTATTTACATAATTATATATTTGTTAAAGAGATTTAATCAATTCATTTTGTAGTTAATGGAGGCGGATTCATATATTGATAAAGCTCAACGTACCCTTAAGGGTATGGCGCGCAGGTGGATTATTTAATGATTTTTATTGTTATTATTATTTCTGAAAAATAATTCTAAACTGATGATTTCATGATTATTAGAATGCAAACTAATCGTATGATAACAGCTGCTATTATTATAACACTTATTGGTTTGATTTGCTTCGTGTTTTATGTAAAGTTGTTCTAATAATTGTATTTAAAACTTCCTTGTGATTTTCATATTTATTATTATTTTGATTTCTGGTATTTACTTGGTTCTTATTATGAGACATTATATGTACCTGTACTTTTAAAATATTTTATAAATGAAATTTTATTTTTACGTGCATATATCAGTATATCATAATAAAATGTATTTTTATCATCAGATATTCAATTAGCTTTGCGTCGATCCCGAAGTTCGCCAATTGATCGGCGTAGGACACCGTGTTATAAAATTATCAAACAAATATTTTTTTTTTTACTTTTTGAAATCATCGGAACAGAAAAGAAAATACTAGGCAAGATTCAGAAGAGGAGGAAGGAGACTAGTTACTCAATGCAAACAAGGATCAGATGATTCTGATTCAGTTTTCTCTGAGGAAGAATGCGAAGACGGTGAAGAAGTTGCATTAGACAGTTTATCTTCCCAAAAAATTGACGAAGATATCATACATGTAACAATAAATAATAAGGTATCTTGTTTATATTTTATAACCTCGTTTCCAAGTTAATCTAATCGTTTCTAATATGATATTGTCAAGTCAGCATTAAAAAAATCCAACAAGAAATTAACTATGGAAGTGATAACTACTTCAGAACCGATAGTCATAAAAGACATCAATAACGATATAGAGCGTGAATTAGCATTGTAAATATTTGATGAAAATTTATATCCTTTTGTCATTTTTTTTTTTTGATTATTAAAAATAATAATAATAAAAAAAAAGAACCCAAAATAATAACTGAAAACAATTTCCTATTCCAGTTATAAGTAAGCACTTGAAGCTGCTAATGAAGGACGCAAAAAAGTCATTGAATCAGGAATAATGTTTTCTAGACCGGATGATTATTTTGCTGAAATGGTAAAATCCGATGAACGTGTAACAAAAGTACGTCAAAGGTTAATTAATGAAGAATAAATGATCAAAGTAAACGAAGATGCTAAACGTCAATGTGAAGTAAAAAAATTTAGTAAAAAAAGTTCAAATTGAACGTTTACAAGAGCGTCAAAAACAAAAAAGGGAATATTTAAACCTATGAAAAAAGTATGTCATGATGAAAGTGATTTAAGTGTAAAGGTTTTATTATTTTATTTGATGTAAAAAGGAAAGGTGTTGAAGATATTGTTGCGAATGAAGATTTTGAAATTGCTCTTGAAGCTGCTGCTGAAGATAATAGACCCACCTAATAAAAAGCAAAAAATTAGCAAAAAAATCTAAACGCACCTATAAGGTAGTTTTAAATTTAATTCAAAATTAATCGTTATTTAAATTTTTGGAATTTGTTTCTATAATTTATTGCGGATGAGAAGGATAGTAAATATGGATTTGGAGGAAAGAAGCGTCATGCTAAAACAAATCCTCCGGTGATCTAACAGTGTTTGATGGAAGGGCGAATCTATGAAAAAAGTAAGATATTGAAATATATATATATATATTTGAAAAAGAATTTTAAGAGTATCAAAGATTTATCTTTTATTTTTTATTTATTTATATTTTTTTTTTTTGAAGAAATAAAAAGCGATAGAATTTAATAAATTTATTAGTTCTTATTTTCATTCGTTGATTTAATTTTTTATTATTTTTCCCTTTATCGTGAAATAATGAATCACGACTTGAATATATTATAAACATTCGAAAGCATAAATCTTCATGAATTTGCGTGAAACCAGGAAATTTTAGACGGAACTCTAAATAGAACAATTTTTTTTTTTTTTTTTTACAAAATATGCTTCAATCTTTATTTATTCTACTAAATTTTTCGCCGCAGCCGTTTACTACCAAACATCCGCAGTACACGTTGATCATAATTTTTTTTTATTTTTATTTTTTTTATATTTTTCGCCGATAAGTAATTGTGATGAATAGGGATTTTCATATGAAAAAAAAAAAGAAGCTATAACTTAATCAAATGCGTATTTATAATTGATAAAAATAATTCAAGTCGCTCGTTTTTTTAATATTTTGATAATTATTTTATAGAAATAAAAATAAAGTTTAAAAAAACTGAAATTTCAACTTTGTAACTTCTAATGAGTAATGTCGTTATTGGGTTGAACGTTGTTTGGCTATTGTTTGATCACCAATCCTGGACACGACTCCCTTAATGTACAAATTGATTTGAAATAAGATGATCATTTCCATGTCTTTGATAGCTCCTCCGCGGATGGACTTCATGCTTGGTATGTCATCAAAAATCAATCACTCAAATTTTTTTTTCATGAATGATAGATATACTAGGTTAATATTTTATGAAATAATAAGGATCTTTAAAGTATTAATATTTTTCTTTCCTTTCGATAGAAAAATAAAATTTAATTTTCGTCCCATTTTTAAAAATGATGATAGAAAAAAAAAATAAAGTTTAAAAATTTCGTTCCTAAATTAATTATAATTTAAAATTTTATATTTATTTTCTTTTTGATAAATTCATTTTCTTTACGTAAAATAAACATTATTTTATTATTTTATAAAAATTTCCAAGTTCGCTTGCGTAACAAAATATATTATATTTCATAACTTTATTAATTCCAAAAAAAAATAATGTATTAATTATTAAAATACATCATATTTAAACTTCTTAATGATTCTCCAATCTAAAATTATATTATATTTGGAAAAAACTACACGATGAAACTGGCAATAAAATATAATTAAAAGCAATCTTTAGATAAATTTGGTACATTAATGTTATCTAATATTCTGACCCACAATAATTTGTAATAAAGTACTTGATGGATAACTTAATTCTGAAATTATACATCAACGTATATCTTTCTAATTGTATATCCAATATAAATAAAATTGGGATTAAAAAACTTGACATGCTTGAAAAAAATGACGACCAGGATGAGAGGGAATATGAGTTGCTAAGCTACATTAAATAATTAATAAAAGTCGGTTGGTACAAAATTCTTTGCTCAACTAAAAATGGGAAATATTGGTGATTTGTAGATTTAGAAGTCCAAAGGAAATATAGGGTTTCTTGATATTTATGAATTCTAATGAAAATAGTGTCGATGAATTTTCAAGAAAATTTAACAATGGAAATTTTACAGGAAATATTGTTAAGGTGTGGTATATAAAAATCCATCCATGCATATGGGCTAATATGCACAACAGATTTTTAATACCCTGAAATTTTTTGACAATAAGACAGACTGGGGCGGGTCATTTGACATTGATAATTACCGGTAACAATTATTCAATCGCAATTTAATGATGATTGAAATCGAAGAAGCAAAAAAAATCAATACTTATGAGTTAGGATATTATCCTAAATATCCTATAATTACATATAAAGAAGTAAAAAATAATATCACACAACGAACCTTTAATTATTTTATAGAAACTGAAGGATTTTATCCTAAAATTTCTGAACTTTGTTATACTTTACCTCCTAAAAAGTATCCAATTCCTGATAACCTTTCTATAAAAAAAACTACATGGGGAAATAAAATTAAATATAAAAATGGAAATCCGGAATTTCAAATTTTATTTGGTTCAGATTTTGAACATGTAATTAAATCAAATAAATCGGCAAGCAAAATTGCAACGGATTATAATAAGGCACAGTATTTTAAAATATCGTTATGAAATTTTTATAATAATATATTTTAAACAAAATTTATTTTATAGGCTATTAATATAAATTCGAATAAAAATAGTTTTTTATCTGGACCATTACTATTTGGATTACAACTTCAAAACTTAGAGAATCCCGAGTTAAGCAAAATTTGATTAAACCTGCAGAACAATATTCACAATCATCACTTAATAATCGCGCAAAAGAAATAGGGACGATAATTAAAAAGGAATTTATTCAAAGTGCAAAATTCATTTATCATAATCAGGATTCTGTTATATTAAAGTCATTTGA